ACACTGTTGTTAATGAACATTTGTGTACAAGTTTTTGGGTGACATATGTTTTCATTTCTCTTGGGTATATACTCAGGAGTGAAATTGCTGGGACATATGGTAAGTTTATGTTGAACATTTTAAGAAACTGCCACAGTGTTTTCCAAAGTGGTTGTACCCTTTCGCAGTCCCGTCTGCAGTACACGAGGGTTCCAGGTTCCCGCAGCCGTTCGTCTTTATATTGTAGCTGTTGTAGTGGGTGAGGGGCGTCTCACTGTGATTGCAGTTCCCATTTCCCTCATCACTACTCGTGTTGAGTATTTTTCATGTGGATGATTAGCCCATTTGTATATCTTCTTTGGTGAAGTGTCTGTTCAAGTCTTTGTTTTGTAATTGGGTTGTTTGTCTTCTGATTCAGTTGTTAAGAGTTCGTTATGTGTCCTGAATTCAGGGGGTGGGGGTTTTTTTTGGTTTATATTTTGTGTTTCAGCTTTATGTAAGTATAATTGACATAAAATTGTAAGATACTTAAAGTGTACAATGTGATGATTTGATATACTTACACATTGTCAAAGGATTCTCTCCGTCAAGTTAATTAACACATCCATCACCTCACACAGTTACCTCAGGGGTGTAGGGGACATGCTTTTAGGAAATTTCAATTGTGAAATAGATCCACACCCGTCAGCCCCTGGCAACCACTTTTCTCTTCTGTTTCTATGAATTTGACATATTTTAGATTCCAGGTCTAAATGCAGTATTCATCGTGTTCCGTCTGAGTCATTTCATTTACGTAATACGCTCAAGGTCCACCCATGTTATCACAAACAGCAGGACTTCCTTCTCCTTTCATTGTGGTAATTTGATATACATCATGAAGAGATTCCCCCATCTAGTTAATTAACAGACCCATCTATCTATATCTATATCTGTCTAAATGTAAGTCCTACTCTCTTAGCAGATTTCTATTGTATAATACCATGTTATCAACTATAGTCTCCATATTATACTTTCGATCTTCAGACCTTATTACCTAATAACTGAAAGTTTGTACCCTTTTACCAACCTCTCCCTGTTTTCCACACCCGTCAGCCCCTGGCAACCACTTTTCTCTTCTGTTTCTATGAATTTGACATATTTTAGATTCCAGGTCTAAATGCAGTATTCATCGTGTTCCGTCTGAGTCATTTCATTTACGTAATACGCTCAAGGTCCACCCATGTTATCACAAACAGCAGGACTTCCTTCTCCTCAGGGCTGAGGTAGGTTCCCTTTATGTACACACATCATCTCTCTCCATCTAGGTTGTTTCCATATCTGAGCTATTGTGACTAATGCTGCAGCGAATATGGGGTATTGATTCCTTTTCAAGATCCCATTTTCATTTTATTTGCATATCTACCCGGAAGTGGAGTTGCTTTTAGGAACCTCCATACTCCTTTTGAGCTCGGAGTGTCAGCATTTTGAAAAAGCCTAACTCAACTCTGGTGCCGTGTCACAGATAGAAATTTTTTGATATTTGCAACCAGAGTAAAACAAAGACTTATATTTTTTATATTTATTTTATATATTTAAATGCCATTTAACAAAGAAAAAAATCAACCAAAAAAATGAGTTCGCGTGTCATAGGTTCGCCATCACTGCTCCATACTGTTGTCCATAGTGGCTGCACCAAATTACATTCCCACCAGCAGTTCACAGGGGCTCCCTTTCCTCCATGTCCTCACCCACACTTTACCTCTTGTCTTTTTGATGATAGTTTCTAACAGGGGTGAGGTGACATCTCACTGTGGTTTTGGTTTGTATTTCCCTGATGATTTGTGATGTGGCTCGCCTTTTCATGTACCTGTTGGCCAGTTATTTATATTTATGTCTTCTTTGGAAAATGTCTGTTGAGTTGCCCTGCCCATTTTTTAATTGGATTGTTTGGTTTTTTGCTGTTAGGTTGTATGAGTTCTTTTAAAAACATATATATTTTATTGATATTTTACAGAGTGGAAGGGAGAGGTATAGAGAGTTACAAACATTGATGAGAGAGAGACATTGATCAGCTGCCTCCTGCACACTCCCCACTGGGGATGTGCCCACAACCAAGGTA